CTTTATTAGCCAAGAGGCATTCACCTTAAAGGGAAGAACTAGGTCCCTTGGCTAATTTAAATTTGAGAAAGATTCCTAGAGAGGGAAACATTGTTTTACCAAAGGGGTGAATAAGTAATTGTGAAATTTTAGGCATTAAATTATGAAGTTTTAGGTGTGAAAGGGTTTATCAGCCCCACCAGGTTTTGCTTATTTCACCTGCAGCTTTGTTCTTTCAACCTTGGAGGTACATGGAATCACCTGACATTCTTAATACTGATAATTGAGGCCCTACATACAAGAGATTCTGGTTGAATTGGATAGGTTTGGACCTGGGCATTCATGGTTTTTTTAATACTCCCCAGGTGATTCTATTGTGTAGTCAGAGTTGGGAACTACTGATTTAAACCTAAATTGGCCTTGCTTTTGAGAAAAAGAAAGACCTTAATGCCATTAGAAGATCAAACATTAAAGCAGGTTTCGGGGAGGGGGACTGAAAGTCCTTGATAAAATGTACAAAAGGTTAAAATAGGCCCTGCAACTCCATAATAAGTGTTTGGTAGCACCAAAGTGAGAAGTAATCTGTGGCTGGTCTGGTTCCCCACTCCCAGACCCCTGGGGAAAATGGCCTTTCCCTAATTTTTAGTTTTTAAATCTGCTTTCTAGATGGTTCAGAGGTATAACAGTTAAAATCTCTGAGCTAAGGGTCTAAGTACTCAAATGGTCGATGTACCAAGTGAGTCTTCAGTTGATGCAGTAGTTTTCCATAGACAATAAAATATTTTATTAAATATGAGTTCTGTGTTATGTTTACATTTTATTTAGTACCATAGGTTCAGTATTTGTTCCTTTTTATAAAACAACCTCAGGATAGGAAAATGATGTTTGACTTCCTCAGCCATCTCATAACAGTCCACTGCTGTTGGTAGCACATAACAAACCCTTATTTTGATATACTATCTCAGTACAGCTTGGTTACTGTCTGTATTTCCAGGCTTTAAAGATGGTCCTTCAGAAAAAATGATAGCAAAACACCAACTACCTTTTACCCAGCAGTTCTTTTTATCTTGACACATTAAGTAACTGGGGATTGAGCCCAATGAACCCAGGGGCATTTTACATTAAGCTACTTACACACCCAGGCCTATAAAAAAAAATTTAAAATTTTGAGACAGGGTCTTGCTAAGTTGCTGAGGCTGGCCTTGAACTTGCTATCCCTCTGCCTCAGCCTCAGATTTGCTGGGATTACAGCATGTGCCACAGTGCCTGGCTGTCTCTCCCATTTTTAAGGAAAATCCCACTCACTGGATAACAAGCCTTCCAGGAATGTCTGTCTGTCTGTCTTAAAATTTGCCATGAGAAGTTTGGAGAAGAACTAAAACCTAACACCCTGGGGGAATCCCTGTGATCAAAAGAGGAAAACATTTTGTACTCTGCCTTTTTTAGGGAGGTGCTTATAGAAATGGACATTAGGAAAACCAGTCCTCATTTGCATTCTTTCTTTATGCAGATATTTACCTTTATAAATAGGTTGGTTAAAAGAGAGCCAATAATAACTATGCCTCATCTGGCCACATTGTAAAGTTTAATTAATATTTTTGAGGTATGAGTTGAAATCACAAGATGAAAAGATTCTATATATGGAATATGTATTAAGTGTCCAATCTGCTTTACTCTGATAATGACTATAATTGTATGGTGTTCTATATTATACATCTTGATTATTTGTGGGTTCATTGAGTTAAACCTTGAAATATATATTTGAATTTGAGTGTTGAGAATGCATTTAAGTCTATTTGGCAAATGTTTGGGTATATTGCATATATGCTTATGTGTTTGCTGGCCCCAAGCAGTTATTCTTGGTGTAAAAGGTGTTTTCACAAAATAACATGGGAAGTTATCATCTTTTTAAATTGGTTTGAAGATATAAGAAAAAAGTAAGTTCTGGTCCTCACACATCATGTATCTAAGTTGTTTTGTGCCACAAAATGTGAATGTTAAATAAAAATCATTAAAATTACATAACCATATTAAGATATGCTAAATATGTGAGAGTTGATCTGGAATGAAATAAAGTGAGCTTGTAAAATGTCAAAAGGAATATAATTATTAATCATTTGAGAAAAAGAGAAACAGTTATTCTTTCCACAAAATTCTCCTAAGGATATTTCATGGAGAACTTAATAGTAGTTTACACTACTGGGTTGTTCAAAGTGAGCTATAGCTCAAGAGCCGAAAGGATCCAGGCTTTTCAAATGAAGATGTAACTCAGAAGACTGAAAGGGCTTTGATAATCATTTGAGTTTGGGAGCTATTATTACTAGAATGTGTTGAATATTAACAAGACTCAGCTATCCTTTAGGTCAGTATAAAAGCTTATCTTTGTATGGCAAACACAACTTTCTCTCATCTTTGTCCATTCCCTTTCAATTGCACCAATACTCATAAATTTAAAAATAGCACTTCCATATGCCCTTCTAAGGAATATAACTACATGAATTAGAACAACCTTGTGCAGTAGGTCCTGAAAATTAGACAGTTAATCCTCCTTTGTAGAGACACAGCATTATTTCTTTCTCATTCAGTAAAATATTTAGTAAGTTTTTACTCTGCATTTACACAGTTGTTCAGCATTGTGTGAAATGTAAGACACAGCAAAGGGAGGCTTAATGTTTTAGGTCATCTTTCCTGGCCTTAAGAGCTTACCATCTCATTTTGGGCAGCAAGAACAACATGGTATATTCAAAACAAAAGTGCTTCCATATGTCCTCTTTCTGGCCTTTCTCTCTTTCTTCTTCCTGGGCCTAAGTTCCATCAGAGCCTTTCTCTCAGCAGGCTGTCACAAACAACACAAAGGTAAGGGCTGGTAATCCCCAAGGTAGTAACTTTCCAGGAAGATTTGCATTTTAACCAGGACTTTTCAAGACAAAAATAATAATAATAAATAAAAAAGGTGAGTCTGTTTAAACAAAGTTGGAAAGGTGATTTATTTGCAGTATTCGGATTTCCCTGTCACATGTTATACCATGTAAGCTGCTTTTGGTCTACCACAAGCCTATCACTTCCCTTACAAAAGCCCCACTTGCTTGTCTCCCTGTTGTCTACCTCTGCCTACCAGGTAGACTCCAAAGTTCTTGGCTTAGTGGGCCAGGTACCTTGCAACCTCTCATCTTCCTCACTTCCAAAGAGACATCCTGATTTTTAGCCTCCCTGCTCTTTCCATGTACCCATAAACAGGCCAAGCCCTTTCACAATTCATTGCTCTGCCCACGTTTTCATTGTCCACAGTGCATCCTCTCCCCTTGTTGTCCTTTTTTTGGGGACAATTCCCATTTTGAGACTCAGCATAAACATCAGCTGGATGAAACCCTGACTATTCCAGATTTCCTCCAAACTTCTTGTTTCCCACAGCACATTGTACTTTTGGAAACTAGTTTGGAGACTATCTTCCCCCACTGGCCTCTCAGAGGCAGGGTCCTGGCATAGCATCTGGCATATAAAGCCTTTGGATATGTGCTTATTCAATGTTTCTGCATCTAGAATGATCAACAGGTTAGCAAAATTTACTTTTGACATTATGTTCTCTCCCTCTGAGGATGCCCTAGGATTAAGTAGAAACTTCCAAGAGGGAATTTACAAGGTTTATTGTTGCTAATTTAACTATGTTTCAAACTTTTTTTTTTTTTGGGGGGGGGGTACCAGGGATTGAACCCAGGGGCACTTAATCACTGAGCCACTTCCCTAGTCCTATCTTTTTTTTTATTTTGAGACTTGATTTCTCTTGCTGAGGCTGGCCTGGAATTTGCAAGCCTCCTGCCTCTGCCTCTTGAGTCACTGGGATCACACAGGCATGTGCCATTGAGCCCAGCTGTCCATTTGATTATTGACAAGGAAA